ACACCCGTCCAGCCCCGGCGAGGAGCTGTTGCAGAAGCGCCCGGCCGTGCCCGCCGTGCCTGTCTTCCCGCTGTAGGTGCAGAAATTGGGGGATTTCTCAAAGTAGACGAGGTCGTGGGGCGAGGGAGGCTTGTGCGCTGGGTTCTCGGGCTCCAGGTGGTGCAGCTCCACCCGCGATGCCCTGTTGCTGCCCTTGTTGCCGTAGATGACGCGGGAGGCACCGTCGGCGGAAGGTTGCCAGCCGCATCCAGCAGGTGCGGACGGTGCAGGAGCCTGACATGCCATGGCACTTGCACTCCTGGCGCATCTCTGAGAACACCGTCTGCAAGGAAAAGGTTTGGGGTGCTGTGAGCAGCCTGGGACCCACCTTGAGGACCACCATGCTCCTGCCTCCCCCTTCCCCACACCACCACATCACTCTCAGACTCCCAAAGCCAAGCAGGAGACACCTCTCCGGCAGTTCCCAACCCACACGTGGGGACAGGGTGAGGGTCTCGGTGGCCATGCCCACCCCTGTGCCCCCTCAGCGCTGCCCACAGCCCCCAGTGCCCTCACCATGCGTCCAGCCTCGTTGTTGTGCAGGTTCATGAGGAAACGCAGGTCTCGCCCCTTCTCGCTGGAGTCCACGAACTCCCTCCCAAAGAGGCGCCCGAAGTCGATGTTGTCGCTGCAGCCCCCCCAGTGCCAGTCGGGCCCCCCAGGCCCACGGCGCCGGTAGTCACAGGTGCAGGACTCGATGGACCCCTCCGAGCAGGACCGAGCCACCGAGTGCGTCACTCCGGCACTGGTGATGGCGAAGATGAACGCTGTCTCCCGGCAGCCTGCAGAGGGGAGAGGGGCCTCAAGCTGCTGCCAGGATGGGCAGGGGGCACACCCCCACGCCCCCAACCCGCCACCACGATGGGCTGGTGATGCCCTGCAGCAAGCCAGGGGTGCTTTGCCAAGCGACCCAGCTTGGGGGTGCATGGAGGGGATCCGGGGACCCCCACGCCATCTCCCACTGCTCCGTGGCCTCACCCCGGTTGACGATCTTGCCGAAGATGTTGGGGCCCTGGGAGGTGGGACAGTTCCAGCGGCGGGTGCGGGGACACCCGATTCA